TTTGTATGTTAGATGTAAAACTTCATTTCTTGGTGATTTCTTAAATTTTTTATGCAGCGCGTCTCTATGTTTTATGCACCGCAGTAGGCCGGGAGTAATCCAGGGTTTTAGTATTTTTTTCATTGCTGGGACTTTTTTATAAACTGTATGTTTTGATATGGCTGACGACAGTAATTTTATAACTGTATCTGTCGCTGTGTTAGGGTTTGTTATTGAGAAAACGGAATTGAAATCCATGCTGGATATTGTTTCATCAAGTGCATTGTAATCGATTTTAGCAGCGGTGAAAGCCACAAAGTTTCGAACACTTTGGTTACTTAGACAGAGCAAGGTTGAGTAGTGGTCTGTGACTGTTGATTCATAGATGAATGAGAAAGATGGGGACTTTGTTTTTAGAATAATATGATCTAAACAATTTTTACCTCGAGTTGGACATGTATGAGCTGGTAGTAAACCGTTTGAAGCGAGGCAATTTAAATATTCGTGTGAGCGTGCGTCTAAAGTATTAGGTTTGATGTCTATGTTTAAGTCACCAGTTATGACCACAGTTTTAAAATTAGTAAGCGATGAAAGTAAATTATTAAGGGTTAAAAGTAAGGTATTTATGCTATCACATGAAGGTGTACGGGTAGATACAGATTATTGCAATAGTCTTATTAATTTTGATAATGATTCCAGAAGCTGTTCGATTAAAGTCTAATTCTTCATATAAAACCGATAACCCAGATTTGATATAAACCACCACAACGTCACTTTGATTAATGTGTTTAGTAGTTTTGAACATAGTATAGTTTTGAAGAAGCGGTATGGTGGCATTGCTTGAGCATGGCAGCCAACACTCTGTGAGGACTATCAAGTCGCAGTCAAAATGAAAACGGTGCATGAATGTTTGTAAATTTAAAAAATTGCAGTTTATTGAGCGAATGTTCTGAGAAAATATTTTAAGAAATCCATTTGGTTGCTTTAAATAAGTTGCTGTTTCTTCGTGGGAGCATGTGTGAACTTCTGATACGGAGAGTTGATCAATACTATCAATAAGATCATTAATAACACCAGTCATTTTTGTAGCAAGTTATAGTCAAAAGGATTAACGAAGTGGGATGAATCATTTATAACAGATTTTAGAGCAAATTGGAGAAGTTCAGTATTATAAGGTCTCGGGATATGAGACATTCGGTTCGCAATGATTACTAAAATATTAATAGAGGGAATTAAGTATTTATAGCGGATAATTAATATAATATATCTTAATATAGCTGTAATGATATGTACTAATAAATAGTAATGGGGATAAATGTATATATTAGTTTTAGTGTTTTGTCTACTCATATCTATGAATAGTTGTGTGGGTTTTTGAGGGTTGTGTAATATTTTAAAAAATATGTGTGTACTTATACTAATGAGAGTGCCAAGATTTGTAACTGACTTATTTAAAGTTACAATATTATAGGTAATACAATAGGAAATGTAATGTAATCGTGGATTAACAGCTAGTCATAGACTATTTTGATGGGAAAGTTGTTTCAGATGTTCTTCATTTTTAATAACGATTGCCTGGCTGTTTGTATCCTTTTTTAGCATAATCTTGCCATCTTCATAATATTGGTTTGCTTTGGCAAAGGATCTGGTAGAGTAGAATGTTTTTTTGGCTTGGGATTTTAATTGTTCAGTAATATATATTAGTAGCTGCTCAGTAGTTTTAATATCCAAGTGAGATGAGCTTACCTTATTTTTAGGGTTCTGTTTATTGTATTGTCGAATAGCATTTAAGAAGCTCGCCTTGAGTAATGTGTTGGAGAACTCTAACGTTATATTTGAGGTTTGATTTTCCTTTTTAGAAGGTTGTCTGGTTATATCCCGAATATGTGTGGGTTCTATTCCTATATTTAGTTGTTTTGACAGGTAAGTAATCGAATCATGTAACATTGACTTAGTTTCTGCCACTCTTTTAGGTACATTTCGAAGCTCAACAGAAGTCTTCACAAGGTTGCGGTCAAGAGTGTCTAGCCTTTCTTCCAGTGATGTGACTTTTCTTGCCGTCTCGTGCCGTTCTATTTCTAAACTTGAGATATTGCTCTCTAGAGATGATAGTTGATCGGATATGAATGTCATAGATTTTTCGAGATCGGTATTAGTTGTTCTAATCTCAAGATATTGGTTTTTTATATCCAGAATATGGCTTTCCAATTTATCGAGTCGTGAGATCATGTATCATCTGTTTGATCTCGGTTTTAAAGCTATCGCTCTCGTCACCAGTGATTTCGGTTGATAAACATTTGCGTTTGGCTCGTTGGGTGAGGTTCGATCCAATGGTTTCATTTATGCACAATTTTTGGATATCAGATTCCGATCTTGATGGTATATTTTGTTTCGGTGGAGTTCTATGTAGTGACTTTGACATATTCCGGTGACGGTTTAAATCAATATAAAATAATTATTAATTATTTAATCAACTTGAATAATTATTAATAAATAATTAGAAGTAAATTGAACAAAGTTGGGATTGAGCTTGGGTTACACAAAAAAAAGTTACCCGTTAATCGCTGTCGCTTGTAAGCTGTGGCAAGCGGCAAATGGTTCGTCGTCACACGATGACGTGAGATGCGCACACACAGCAGGGCCACGGTACAATTATAATACAGTAGTGTAACTCGGCCGCATGATAGAAATAAATGCCTACAGCCGCGCGGTACGTAAACATGCGTTAGGGCTGCCCGTCTCCAGCATTTTAATTATATTTGCCGTCTGTCTGTTTCTATTTAGATTTGTGATTGTAAATATCCTTTTTATATAAATAAATGAAATATTTTGTATATTGAATAGGAAGTGTTCAATAAAAATGCGTGTCGTTTTTTGATTGGTAGATTTAATTAAAAAAACATGTTTTTGTTTGAAAACCAAATGGGGTTTATAAATTTGCGACCGAAAAAAATCCTTCTATAAAATAAAATAAATGTGCTTTCTCCTTACGCGTTACAAAACTACAATCCTTAGAAACTCCAACACCTACCTACTCAACTAGAATGCAAGAAACAGCTGACGAGTAAGTAACTTTTTATCTCAGCTTATTAACGTCTCTATAAATTAGGTACCTACCTACAACTCGCAACAACTCAAAACAAAAATTCTTTGGTTACCAATTAATTAATTATTAAAAAGCTGAACAGCTGACTACGAATGTTTTAAAATCACAACCTAGCTCTAGCTGTTGTTGTTAATACCGAGAAAATAAAACCAGTTTTTAGTGGTATATGTTGTTATAGTAGCAGCAGAAACACTTTGTGAAAATTTCGAAAACTGTCTAATGACACACAGACGGTAAAATTTTTTTTTAGTATTATTCATACACACAGATAATAAACAAATATTATTAATAATAAAATACCACATCTTTACTTTGAATTATGCAAAGTAACAAAACACACATGCACCGAAGTTTTAACACAAGCGTAAGTAGGTAGGTACCTACCGTATCATGATTCATTCAGAACCGCATATAACTCCCTATTTCACTCGTCTCAATAACTTACCGTTACTCTATTTGCTTTATTTATTCATCCAAACACCTTTTTTTTGGTGAGATAAAAGGAAATACTTATCCATTAAAAAGACACACATTATGTACCTACTAGTAAGTAAAATTATTTTATAGTCTTACCTTTCAGTTTCCAGGTAATTTAAAAAAACTTATGTCTGGATGCGTTATTGACGAATTCATACAACCAAAAACAGCACAATATTTCCTACTCGTCATATTAACTGATTTTTAGAGAAAAAATCGCGCGGTTATTGTTAAAAAAACAACACACAGTCCGTTCGACACTGCGGTACAGCCGTGACTGTCTGCGCCCCGAGCGCACCCCGAGATCGAGGCGCGTAGGTATAGCTCGCGTTTCGTCCGTTTGTATGAAGTTGGAGTACTGTATTATAATAGTACCGTGGCAGGGCCGACTTACTACCTGTGTCGCCGTAGTTGTTGTCCTGTTTTCTCACGCACTCCGCGGACATACACTGCGTTATGTTCGCCTGGTACTTTGTATATTTTTTAGTATTAATATTTGCAGCGAAATCAACTTTATTTAAATTTTTAAATAAACACGCACGGTGGGTGACGTCTGTTCGCTTACGCGGTCCAAAGGGAAGAGGAGAGTTTAAATAGTATTACTGCTAATATTGAAATATTTCGAAGCCTTATTTCTACTACTCGACCAACAGCAGAATCATCAACAAAAAAAGCATAGTTGACTACATTTCATCATATCCCAGTTATGAGAGCCATTATACCAGGGAAAAGAACAAGCGGCGTAACCTTAGCCCTGAACTTAATATAGCTCTTATGTATAAGCAGTACAAAAATAAAATGGTGGATGCAGCGAATGGCGTTGAAGAACATGCCAAAGAATGGCTCTATAGGGAAATTTTCAATACAAAGTTTAATCTTTCTTTTAAATTACCTGCAGGCTTAGCCAAGTTGACATTCTACAAGCGTAAAAAAAGCGTTTCTCTTAGAAAACTAAACAAATGTATGGGAATGACATCATCTCAACGTAAAGTCACGTGGTCAAAACAAACGAATAGAAAAGTCTTAGCCAAGCTGACAATTGTTCAAAGTAATAGAATGGAATGTAATCGTTTCTACAACGTTGATCGCAAAAACCATATAAATGCTAGCCAAGTCACCGTTTTGACAAGCGCTAACGAAACGAAATAGAGTTTTTTGAACGCTCACTTGACGATCGCCACAACCCAATAGTTATCGCTAAAAAAATGGCGTCTATATGTGATCCAACGTAACAGTGTGTTGAGACAGATAAGTGATTTCTTTGTTTACTATAATTTTGGACTATATTTACCGTTTAAAATGCATACTTTAAATATGTTGCGGTGTGCTCATAATGAAGAAGTGTGGCTTAGGCGCCGAAATAGAGACATAAATCGTCAATGCATGGAAACAATAAGCGAAATGCCGGAAACTTTATTTGTGCAATACTTTCGGTTAGACAAATCGTTTTCGAAGCCCTTTGTCAAAAACTCCGACACAAGACTTTGTTAAAAAGAACCACCGAGATTCCCCTAAAAGTTAAGGTAAGTGGACTAGTAGTATAGTATTACCAATTTTTTCATTACTTATCTATAATTTCTTATTCCTTGTGTTGTTGTAGGTGTTGTGCGCTCTTAGTTTCCTAGCCACAGGATCCTATCAGCGAATTGTTGGCGTCACTCAGCATCTTGCCCAACGGACAGCTAGTCGTTGCATCAAACAAGTTGTTGATGCTTTGAACCACCCTGCTGTCATGGCAAAATGGATTGAGTTTCCGAAAACACGACAAGACAGAGCATTTATAAAACAAGAGTGAGTACTTAAACAATTTAACAATATTTTAATTATTAAGTGCATGTTATGTAATAAACATAAATATTATTTTTCAAGGTTCCAAAGAAGGTTTGGCTTGCCTGGTGTAATTGGGTGCATAGATTGTACCCATGTAGCTTTGGTAAAGACAAACGTTGAAGAGCATCTTTTTTATAATAGAAAAGGGTATCATTCCTTAAATGTTCAAATGGTAGATATATTATTTATTTATACTGTATGTATAGCATGTTAGAAATAAATGAATCACTTCTTAATATTTGTTTTATTTTCAGATTTGTGATAGTAATCTGCGTATTTTAAATGTGAATGCAAAGTTTGGTGAAGCCACACATGATTCACATATATGGTCTTCAAGTTGAGTTGAATTATATATGCGTGAACTTCATCAAAATAATGAACAAGTATGGCTGTTAGGTAGGTATTTGTAATAGTAGAAAGATCTAATCTATAGGAGTTTTCTAGTGTCTAACTAATTTTTAAACTAATTTTTCAGGTGACTCTGGATATCCACAACGCCCTTGGCTTATGACACCTATCCTCAATGCAGTTCGTGAATCTAGGGAAGAACGATACACTCAAAAGCATGTGCAAGCACGTAACTGCATTGAGCGCTCTTTTGGGTTACTCGAGGCACGGTGGAGATGTTTGCTTAGAGACAGGGCTCTTCACTATCATCCTCATGTAGCTAGCAACATTACAATTTCATGTTGTGTGTTACACAATATAGCTTTGCAAGCTGGCTTACCACCACCACAACCACATCCTGCTGCACATGGCAATGGGAATGATATAACTGACTGCACGGATGGCGTAGTGGTTTAAGTGGTCGCCACGCCGCTTCCTACTGCGCCGAGTGTTGTGGGTTCAAACCCCACATGGGACGACACTTTGTGTGATCCACAAATTGTTGTTCTGAGTCTGGGTGTTCTTTGTGTCCGTTTCATGTATGTTTGTAAAGTCCCCCGCGACACAGGATATATTCCTAATGCGGGAGTTGTCTTTTTTTAATAAAAAAAAAAAAAAAAACTATGCAAGATCCTACACCTGCTGCAACTGTGGGTAACCAAACTGAAGTACTACAAGGAAGAGCCATGCTTACTTCTTTATTGAATAGGTTATAATATTTTTTTACATTGTAATTATAAATTAAACTTTATGTTCTCTATAATTAATTTATCTTATATAAATATTAATAATGAGTTATTGATAGTATTTTTTGTAAAATGTCTAGTTAATTTTATTTTAAAGGTACATAATGTCTTTAGATAGCTATTAAATTATGAATAAAACAGCTTTATTATTACAAACAAGATTATTATTATTTTATGAAAACAAACGTTCATAATAATTTGGTAGTGGCTTTGGATTGTTCAGTAATCTATGACTTTGTATTTACAATTCATTTAGTACCTAATCTAATACCCTGTATTTCCAATTCACACAGTTAGCAAGTACTTAGAAACCAATAAAATACAGTTCCTGTATATAAATATTGGTTTCAGTTCTTACATTCCAAATCTAAATTAAAATAGGATTTGTTTAATACTACCAAAAGATCTAAAACTGGCCTAATACTATATTGTAAGGAATGAAGGAATAGAGTGAAGTACGCCAATGGTGGTCTGTACCTAACTTCGCGGTGTGACGTCATTCGAATGAGACTATCGAATGACGAGTAGTATCGTGAAGATCGGTCACTTTTGCTCGGGACCTCGCGGTGTGCGGGCTGGTGCATCTCTGTGTCGTGTATCACGTAACTATAATAGATTACTTAGCCTTAATATTTAAATTATGTATTAGAGTTAAATAACCAGATAGTGTTTTCGTATTCTGTATAACATTAAATTGTTTTTTTTAACCAAATAAATCTGTTTTTGCTTACATCAGAAGTGGGACAAAGTTATCCTTCAACCCACAATCGATTTTACTTTTTCTTTTTGTTACTTGTGTTATTAGTATCTGGTGTTTATCTGCTAATATTGTGTAATTTGCTTCGGTGTATATTGATCTATTATAATGGGAAGGCGTAAACGTTCATGCAGTCGATCTGACTCGAGTGATGATAATAATTCTAAACGTTACCGCCGCCGGCATCGTAGTCATTCTACCCACGGTTCTTCTCATGGTTTGGAATTACGCGAATCGTTACAAGTTATCATGACGCGGTTAAACGCATTAGAAGGTAGGTCTACCATGACGACATCTTCAAATATCGAAACGCGTACACAACCTAATGATTCTACTGAAAAAATCGTAGACGCTATTCAGTCTTTAAGGTGGGGTAGTTCTCGTGATTATTACGTTTCGAATTTCGACCCTAACATGAATGATGATGGTTTTTGGTTTGAGAAGGTAGACAGAGCACAAATCCTTAACAAATGGTGTGACGCTGAGTGCTTGTCGCGCATTGGGCACTGTCTTAAGGGTGATGCTAAGTCATGGTTAGATGATTGGGTCACGACGGACCGATCATGGAGCAACTTTAAAAAAGATTTTAGGTCTTTATGCGTGAACAAGATTGATGTGGCGAATATTTTGTACGAAGTGATGAGTACGAGTTCCGACGATTATGCAACGTATGCTGAATACGCGCGTAGATCTTTATTGCGTTTGAAAATAGTGAAGGGACTGAGTGATGAGCTTATTAGTGCGATCGTTATACGTGGTATTAATGACCCGCATATTAAGGCGTCTGCTACGAATTGTAATCTTAAGCCCTGTGAATTAGTAAATTATCTAGCTACTTTCCTTAAGCCAGCGCTTAATAAACCCGAAAAGCCTTCTAGTTCTGACCGCGATATTAGTAAAGGATTTGTTCAATCACCGTTAATAACCGTCATGTTAAAAATACATAGGACATTGTTTAACCTGCCTAGCCAATAAAAGGATTACACGAGCCGTTCTACAGCCTATCACATCGTGGCCTAAGCCAGATATAGCTTTTCACACCCTCCATATGGATGCTCTCGGTCCCTTGCCCGAGTCTAATGGATATAAACATATTATGGTAGTATTAGATGCTTTCTCTAAATATTGTCTACTGTATCCTCTTTATAAACAAGATTTGGATGAGTTAAAACAAGTATTTCAAAATGTTATGTCCTTATTCGGTACTCCACGTTTCTTGGTTACAGACAGAGCCCGTATGTTTGAATCTGCACGATTTGTTAAGTGGATTGACGATTTAGGATGTTCGATACATCATATCACCCCAGAAATGCATCGTTCTAATGGTCAGGTTGAAAGATATGTTCGCACTCTACTTAATATGTTACGTATAGAGATCAATCATAAGAAAAGTAAATGGTCTGAAGAATTATGGCGTTTACAGCTTGTCCTCAACATTACTCAACAAAAGACCACACGGGCGTCTCCATTAAATCTTTTAATAGGCACCGAGGGAGTCACCCCCGTAATACAAGCTCTAGTTCGTGATGTTACTCAAGACTGCTCAAGTTCTGAACGGCAGTCCCTGCGAGAGCTTGACAGACAAAGGACGGCCGAACGTCTCAAAGAAAACCAAGAGCGACAAGATAAATATGTCGATAAAGGTCGACACCCGCCCCGTGTTTTCCTGATGAACGACCTTGTGTTTGTCATTAAATACACACAATCCAAAGGAAAATTGGATTCTGGTATGCGTGGCCCATATAAGATAACTAAAGTCCTCGAAAATTGTCGTTATGAGTTGAAATTACTGGCCGGAGCTTATGGCAAAGTAAGTTATGCCGCAGCTCAATTCATGGTACCTTGGAAAGGTGAATGGACGCCTGAAGAATGTGCAGCTTTCTTTGCGAGTAAGTCACTGTAACAGTAGATCTTGTGATTGTACAGTGTGTTCTAAGACCTATGGACAGGGTAACCAGCCCCAAACTCATGGTCCCCCTTAGAAAACCTAGAAGACCCATGGACCGGGTATCCAGCCCCAAACTCCTGGTCTTCCTGAGAGAAAGTATAAGACCCATGGACCGGGTATCCAGCCCCAAACTCCTGGTCTTCCTGAGAGAAAGTATAAGACCTATGGACCGGGTAACCAGCCCCAAACTCATGGTCTTCCTGAGTGAACTTTAAGGCCTATGGACAGGGTAACCAGCCCCGAACTCTTGGTCATTTTGTGGTAACAGTAGATTCTCATGCTGTAGGTCTACTCTTGTCAAGGTACTAAACTTCTGGTTGTTTAGTTTTATATGGATGTAACAGTGATTGTTTGTTTGTAGTCTGGAACGGACTATAAACAATCTTTCCCTCTTTTCCTTGGGGGTTCAAACCTTTTCCTATGCCTGTTAATTGTTACTAACGTGAGTGCTATTTATTAACTGTTTACACTAAATTGGATAATTGTTTTCAGCAATTGACCAATCGAACGACGATGTACCTACAGAGGATCCTAATAAACTTTTAGTAGAGGTTCAAGCCACTGCAAATGAAGACAATGAAGAGGAGCGGTCACTTGAACCTGACGAGGACGTCAGGGTGTCAGGAGAGGCCGTGTAAGGAATGAAGGAATAGAGTGAAGTACGCCAATGGTGGTCTGTACCTAACTTCGCGGTGTGACGTCATTCGAATGAGACTATCGAATGACGAGTAGTATCGTGAAGATCGGTCACTTTTGCTCGGGACCTCGCGGTGTGCGGACTGGTGCATCTCTGTGTCGTGTATCACGTAACTATAATAGATTACTTAGCCTTAATATTTAAATTATGTATTAGAGTTAAATAACCAGATAGTGTTTTCGTATTCTGTATAACATTAAATTGTTTTTTTTAATCAAATAAATCTGTTTTTGATTACAATATACTAATTAAAAGATGAGAAAGGATTATTCAGTAATCTAATAGTTTGTATTTGCAATGCACTGAGATAGTAAATACTTAAAAACCAATAACCTAAAGTTAATGTACCTAAATATGGGTTTGAGTTCTTAAAATTCAAGTCTAAATTAAAATTGGGTTTGTTTAATACTACAAAAAAAAAACTATACTAGCCTAGTACTGTACTAATTGTAAATAAAAAAAGCAGGGAAAGCTGGATTGGAATAGCAAACAATTGAAATAAAAGTTTTTTTGTCTGATATTGTAGGCATTTGAAATGTTCATAGCCCAGAGCTGAGACCACTATCAGTACATTAGACATTTTAAGGTATAATATTGGTTAAAGGTAATGATGGTGGCCTCAACTGTGGTAAAATTTCAATTAATTTGTCTACAGTACTAGACAAACGATTTAAAATTATATTTTGGTTTTCTATCATTTCCATTCTTCTCGATTCCAATCGCAGCCTTTCCAGCTCCCGCTCATGCAGATTTTTTTCCCGGTCTGCCTCTAGTTGCAGTCAGCGATTTTCGACAGCCACAAACTCGATCGTGGCTCGTTCGAAGGGTGTTTGTACCCAGCGCGTACGCGCTCGAAACAGCCCGTGGCGCCGCGTCATTGATGCGGTGGGGGATGCCGACGCCGTAGGCGATGGGCTTGTCCGATATCGTCGCCGCTGCGGAGCCCCCCGCGACGTGGACGCGGTAGGAGACATCGCTGATGGCACCGGCGCGGATGCAGTGCCAAGTGGCGGTGATGGCGCTGGTGGTAGAGGGCGTCGAAGTTCGCCAGAGGGAGGTGGCAGTGAAGGAGGAGCGGTAGATGCTGATGATGTTGCTGAAAATATATAATTATATATTATACTAACAGTGCCTGTGTGCCTTCGTTCATGTGTACATATTTATATATTTGGCACAGAACTCTAATTCTTTTAAAAAAATAAAAGTAGCCTTAATTACTCCTAATAACACCAGCTGACTGCCAGTGAAAGCCCTGAAATGAATTAAGTGGCAAAAATGTATCTTAAAAATAAATAAAAAGTACCTTGTATAGAATAAGATGGAATAAAATCCAACATAATTTCATCAGGGTCAGATATTTGGACGGACAAACTGTATGTACTGCTTGTACAGTATTTCTGGTTGGTGGTGGTAGAGAGTTTCCCTCCGATTGTAGGGCCTGAAAAATATGAAACACATTAATTAGAAATATTACACTTGTTTATATACGATAATACAGTAATAAGCAAAGACGACAAGCAAAAAAAAACTAACAGCAAAGCCTCTCTCTTCAATTCCAACTTGACCAATGACAGCAGTCAAACCCATTATGCCCAACACCCTCTCTTCTAAACCAGTGAGGGTTTGTCTGCTGCTTGGACCACCACCAGTACCTAAAGCCTCACCACGTATTGCCAAGGCTTTTTTCTTGGTTTTAGCTTTCCAGTTCACAATGGCTAGAACAAGTTAAAACTTTATCAGAGACAAAGAGTCTATTGATCAAGTAAAGAGTCAAATAGAATTGTTTGGTTCGTTTAGTAATCAGTAACATTAAATGTTGCCGCGTATCACGTTATTGTTTATGTTTTAAAATTTCAAGTGCCTGAGTACCTACGAATTTTCAAATAACAAAGGAAGATAAATACGAAATAACTAGTAATTTACGTACCTCTCCATAAATTCCAATAAAACTGTGAACTGTTCTGGGCTTGCTCGAGCTCTAGATTCCATCCTACAAAAGTTATCACATCATTTAAGGTATTTAAGGTTCATCATGAGACAGGATCTTAACATAACAATTCGAGTTACAGTAATGTTTAATTTACATTCGGCACTGTGATACTATAATAAACTAATAAAAAGAAGAACTTGTGCCTTCTTCACTTACTTCTTTATCACTTTAAACAATTATTCCTTCCAAAACAAAATTTAAATTCCAAATAAAAGTTTATCCCGCGCGCTCAAAGTAAACAACTTTTTGACACAGTGTTGCCAGTGCTCTCAGTCATTAGTTACTTTTCGTTCCCTGATATGTTACATTTTTGCTACAAAAGTTAAACGTGAACTTTTTAATAAAGTAGCTATTGTTAGGTACAGTCAGGATTGAACAAAACGTATGTGCACTCACATTGCAAACGCTGGCTAAACCTTACGGGACATATCAAAACAATGCACCACAGAACCGTATATCTTAAGAAGATCCACAAAAAAAAGACCGCGTTCTCATTTTTTTTTGTGCACGTTAGCGTCTCTATTTTTTACAAAGGGTTGCTAATGGCGTACTCAAGATTCGTTAGGCTATTCCGGATAAAGATTTGAAGAATTTCTATACAAGTGCAACATGTTGTGATTAGTTCACGTCGTAAATTTGACCCTTGTTGACAGCTCAAATTAGGCTGTCATGTGTTTTTTTAGTTTACAAGTATTTTGGGATAGAACTGAAACTCTTTCACACTTAAAATCCTGATATTAAGTGTGAATCTTAAAATCCTGATACTAAGTGTGAATCTGGGAACACAACAAATATAAGTACACTATTTAACTGTTTTTGTTTCTACCGTTATTTTGTATCAATACTTCTACATTACTTAAGAAGTTGAAAACTGGGATTCGTCAGCCAATGGTAATCCACAATCAAGAACATCATAATAAACAAATAAGTAAACAATATTAAAGAATAATCAATTGTTGAATACAAACATAAAATATCTGTAAAATACAATAAATGATGTCATTAAAGGATATAATTCTTTTCATTACAAAAAGAGTTGTGTTTCAAACCTAAGGGGAGTTCTGAATACTACTGCTTTTTGAGGACTGATCATGCATCTAGTGATAGTATTATCACGTTATCATCATCATAGTGTCTTCAAGCCGAAACCCAATCATGATGTCTCTTGAATCGTGAATCATCACGTACATTGAATCCAATCAGTGTAACAATAAAAATTTACACGCTCTTAAAGCTCTTTAGTGTTGAACAAAAAGGACATTTTAATTTTAATCAAAATTTAAAAATTTCAATATCAATCTTGATTTTAATAGATCATAATTGTATACATTTTGCATGCCTTGCAGTGGAATCGCTTGAAACATGTACATTTAATAACAATAATTGTAGCAGTGTTTCCTGAAAAAATAAAGATTTGAATTTGGATTGAAAACCCTCACTCGTCAGAGCATGATATAAAAAATTTTATTAAATTTTTGGCTCATACAAGCCCAAGTGATAATTTACCATGGTTATTTTGTATGGTTGTGCGATTATTTTACAAATATAAAACAGACCACATCTATTAGCAAAAAAATATCCATCTAAAAATAAAAATGATCCACATGGTATTTGTTCATCTTTTATATTTTTAGCAAGAAAATGTATAAAACTTACGTTTTCCGAGTTATGAACGTGACAAGAAAGTAATGTTTTCTTGTTTATTCCACTTCTGACTTGTTAGGTACAGTTTCATACAATTATTCTTTACCACACTTGTTACTCCACTTAATGCCAACCAACGAACGACTCCCTGTCCTATGGGCTCGTGGCCCTTTATACAAAAAAAAAAACAATCTTAAGCCCCGCCCTTAGAGTGTCGGGGCAAACTTAAATCAAATCTTGGTACGAGTATTTGACATGATCCATTAAAATGTATTTCAGCATTAAGCAATTGACAAATTGTCCTTATATAACTCCTTGACACTTCATTACAATTATTCTAATGAATAATTTATATAATACTAACTTATAGAACTAACGATCTAACACTATGTAAATATCGTAATATATTTATATAATTTTTACTTAAAATAAATTCGACATATTTTTGGGCCTACTCTTTTTCGTTTGTAAGTTTTCGGCCCTAGGTTTCCGTAAAAGGTAGTTGGTTGATGAATGAGTAGTACATGGGATAGTACGGCTCTTCGAGCCTTGATAATAATAAGCTAAATCTTTTAACTTTAATTGATTCTGGAATGTTCAAAAAGGAGTTATTCAAACAACTAAAAGATGCTCGCTCATATTATCGTATCATTAACAATACGTACTTTTTAATACATTTAAGGTAGGCACTCGTTTCATGATAATTTGAAAAACTTTAACGCTGAACTTACCTAACAAACAATAAATGTGATCACCAGAACTTCACTCACGCACTTTTCTCGTAGTTGTACGATAACAAGGAATGGCGCGAACTCGCGAAGTAGGAAACGTGCGCGCACACGCTCAAGCAAAATCAAGTTTAAAAACATCCTAGATACGTTTCATTTTCTTATGGCGCGTTCCATTAAGATCCATCTCTGAGTGTGATATCATATCACAAAAGTATTTCACTCGATATCACTGGTAAGGAATTAAAGTAAAATACTTAAAGTTGAAAGTTAGTAAACTGTTTGCAATAAAAATCTAGTATTAAAAATCTCGTTCTTCTCATAAGTTACGATAATTGCCTTACATTTTAAAATTATATGTTACGCGAAGGGTCAGGTCACGAAAAATGTAAGAAATGTTACGTTCTGGCAACACTGGTTTCACAATGTTAATTTGACGTTAATAAGAAAGCTCACCATAGACTAAAGTATAGATTTTTTCCAAGTACATGGTAGAACGAGCGATCAACTAATTCGTGTCAACTTGGCTAGCAACTTTGCGTTTTCTTAAATCGTTTACGACGAGGAGTCAACGAATTTAGAAAGAGATTCGATCCGATACATTTGTAACTTGGCTAGGCCTGCTGATGAGGATACATGTGACGACTGCAATAAATTTAAAAGATTATTAAAAGAAGAAACAGATGAAGAAAAGAAAAAAAGGATTTTCAAGGATAAAGAATTATATTTAGAAAAAGCTCAAATACGATATAATTTAAAAGCAGATGATTAAATTAAATCGTATAGAGATCTCTCAAAAAGAGTCTTATTTTTAGATTTGCAAAAATATCTGCCTACACCGAGCCTCACAAACACTCAATCCTTTTATTTAAGAAAACTATGGACCCTTAACCTAGTTATATATGATGCTACAACCAAAACCACAGAAAACTTTGTTTGGCCTGAAAATATAGCAGGGAGAGGAGGCAATAAAATAGCCTCCTGTATTTTGTTATGGTGCCACAAATATCTTACAGATCCCACTACGAGTATTGAATAAATCACAATATGGACGGATAACTGCGCCGAACAAAATCGCAACATTATGGTTGTAGCATGCTACCTGATAGTATTTTATAGGTTTCCCAATATAAAGTGCATAAACCACAAATTCTTTCTTAAAGGACATACCCATATGGAAGTTGACCATGTTCATTCTATGATTGAGAGAAAAAAGGAGCGCCTGACTTCTATGGACATTGTGATACCTCATGACTGGGCCCAGTTCATAAAAACTTGTGCTGGTCGTAATCCATTTAATGTAAATAAAATGGAAATAAGCAGCTTTAAAGACTTTACACATCTTTATAAACGATCAGGGCCATTTTTACAACGGAAAAAATATATAAAAGAAAATGATTTTAAGATATCGGAAAGTGTTTGGTGGCAGTTCCGCAGAGAAAGACTAGGTTCCCTATTTTATAAAAATCAATTTAATGATGATGAGTTTGAGGAAATTATACTCAAAAGAAACTTAAAAAAGAGCAATGTGCCCATACCGACGGAGTTACCAAACGTTCGCCAGATAGAAAAACCTATTTCATCAGGAAAATACAGAGATCTGCAAATATTAACTACTTGGATACCTGAACAGTTCCATGACTGTTATAAAAACTTACCATACCAAGATGAAGCATGTGATTTCCCAGAGAATATAGAGGAAAGCTCAGAGATTGTTTAGATTTTATTTTAACTCATTTTTGGAATATTTTTTGTTGTTGTAGTGTTTTAATAATAATACGGTGTTTTTTTCTTTGATTTTGTTGCTTTTGAGCTCTCTTTTATTAAAAAATACTGATTTAGCTTTAACATAATAAAACTAATTTAGTGAAATAATTATTTTATTGAAATCCAGATTATTGTAGCCACTGAATATTTTTGTGGAATGATTAGATTTAAGAACCTTTTTTTTTTTACGTGTGAAATCCCCTCGGACCGTCACCGTTTTTTTTGTCAGCTTTTCCCCGACCATGGAAACGTCAGGCCCTTGTACATCTCATACTGTACTTCTATATTATATCTAATCTTTAACATTCATTATTTTGGTTACCATATTTATTATTTTATAGTTCCCTATCCCTTGTCGGGATTTCCACTACTCTATGCGTTGCGTTATACATTTTTACATAATACATATATACTATACATATTATACTACTTTACATACATTTTTACTTTTGCTATTCTATTTCTACTCTAATATCCACATCTTTCTTGTAGTACATTTAGATCTTTTACACTTTCATCTATAGTTGTGCTATACGTATAATAGGTTTTACATCTTTACATTTATACATATATACTGTACGAAAGTGTTGAAAAACAGGTTCTTTTAGAATTTTATATATATTATACTAGTTTACCTTCGTACTTATGTTTTGCACTTATGTGTTTTCTACCTTTTTAAGTTGATATACCTATTTCTACATTAACATCCAATTATCTTCCTAAAGTACATATAGTCTTATATCTATTTGTGCTTTATCTATATTATACTATTATGCTGTCTTTAAATTTAACATGTGTTGTTCCAACTAAATGTATATATATCTTACTTTTACATATATTTCCTAAAAAGATTTTTTTTTTCAAGACTTTATTTATCAAGTAATGAGCTTTTTGAATTCTGTGTGTTTTATCAGCTTACATTCTTAATTTTTAAAACATATTTTTATTTGGACAATAGGTTATATATCACATCAACAGCCTTTAATAGTCCACTGCTGGACATAGGCCTCTCCTTAGAAATGAGGTTTTGGCCTACTATACCACGCTGGCCAGACGGGTTGGTATAGGGTTTGTGTGGAGGCGGCTGACGGCGGGCTGTCCTACGCGGCCGTTTTTAAAAAGGCCCGGGACAGCCTCGCCAACGACTTTAGGACGGTGGGGGTCAGGATGCGCCTCGCCCAGACGGGAGCTCGAGTCCTCGAGTTCCCTGGGGCTGAAGGCGCTAAGACGGCGGACACATTTGCCGAGAAGCTGCGGGGACTCTTTACAGCCACGGATGGTGTAAAGATCGCCAGGCCTACTAAGTGCGCAGAGCTGCGCATCTCGGGCCTGGACGACTCCGTAAAGGCCGAAGATGTCCGCGCTGTAATCCGGGAGAAGACGGGGTGCAGCGCGGACAACGTCAGGGTCGGCACCATCCGCCCCGGTCCAGGAGGGCTTGGCGCCGTGTGGGTCAGCTGTCCCGTAGCGTCGGCCAAAGTATTGGCCGACGCCGGCAGGCTGCTCATCGGTTTCGTGAGCGCCAGGATCACAGTCCTGGCGGCGAGACCGATGAGGTGCTACAAATGCCTAGCATCGGGACACACGCGCGTCAAGTGCGACAGCTGTTTCGACTGCGGCGGACTGTGCTTCCGCTGCGGTCAACCGGGGCATAAGGCGGCAGAATGCTCTGCCGCCCCTCACTGCCCAGCGTGTGCGGCGGGCAATAAGCCCGCCAATCACCAGATGGGGCAGAGAGGCTGCAAGCCTCCCCGCAGTTCTCGGCAGACGTCAGGGGCTAGCCAGTCGACCCAGGCTGCCTCTGATGTAGTACGTGCGTCGTCGTCGTCGCCCATGGAGGAGGTTGTAGAGACGATCCAGTAATGGATCAAGTCTCCAACCTCCTGGTCCAGACGAACCTGAACCACTGTGCCGCGGCGCAGGATCTCTTCCTGCAAACCATGGCACAGTGGTCGATAGGTGTTGCCGTAGTCGCGGAGCCCTATTCTGTCCCTCCCCGTCCAAACTGGATGGGTGACTGGGACGGCTCCGTGGCAGTCGTCGGTTCCACGACGGCTCATTCCCCGCCCTTGTCGCTAAGAGACAAGGGCACTGGATATGTTGCCGTCGAGTGGGGGGGGATCACCATATATGGTGTCTATTTCTCCCCCAACCGGAGTTTGAACGACTTCGAGGTTTTCCTAACCAGCTTGGAGACCTCGATACGGCGCCTAGCGTCTGGGCACGTCCTTGTGCTGGGATACTATAATAAACTAATAAAAAGAAGAACTTGTGCCTTCTTCACTTACTTCTTTATCACTTTAAACAATTATTCCTTCCAAAACAAAATTTAAATTCCAAATAAAAGTTTATCCCGCGCGCTCAAAGTAAACAACTTTTTGACACAGTGTTGCCAGTGCTCTCAGTCATTAGTTACTTTTCGTTCCCTGATATGTTACATTTTTGCTACAAAAGTTAAACGTGAACTTTTTAATAAAGTAGCTATTGTTAGGTACAGTCAGGATTGAACAAAACGTATGTGCACTCACATTGCAAACGCTGGCTAAACCTTACGGGACATATCAAAACAATGCACCACAGAACCGTATATCTTAAGAAGATCCACAAAAAAAAGACCGCGTTCTCATTTTTTTTTGTGCACGTTAGCGTCTCTATTTTTTACAAAGGGTTGCTAATGGCGTACTCAAGATTCGTTAGGCTATTCCGGATAAAGATTTGAAGAATTTCTATACAAGTGCAACATGTTGTGATTAGTTCACGTCGTAAATTTGACCCTTGTTGACAGCTCAAATTAGGCTGTCATGTGTTTTTTTAGTTTACAAGTATTTTGGGATAGAACTGAAACTCTTTCACACTTAAAATCCTGATATTAAGTGTGAATCTTAAAATCCTGATACTAAGTGTGAATCTGGGAACACAACAAATATAAGTACACTATTTAACTGTTTTTGTTTCTACCGTTATTTTGTATCAATACTTCTACATTACTTAAGAAGTTGAAAACTGGGATTCGTCAGCCAATGGTAATCCACAATCAAGAACATCATAATAAACAAATAAGTAAACAATATTAAAGAATAATCAATTGTTGAATACAAACATAAAATATCTGTAAAATACAATAAATGATGTCATTAAAGGATATAATTCTTTTCATTACAAAAAGAGTTGTGTTTCAAACCTAAGGGGAGTTCTGAATACTACTGCTTTTTGAGGACTGATCATGCATCTAGTGATAGTATTATCACGTTATCATCATCATAGTGTCTTCAAGCCGAAACCCAATCATGATGTCTCTTGAATCGTGAATCATCACGTACATTGAATCCAATCAGTGTAACAATAAAAATTTACACGCTCTTAAAGCTCTTTAGTGTTGAACAAAAAGGACATTTTAATTTTAATCAAAATTTAAAAATTTCAATATCAATCTTGATTTTAATAGATCATAATTGTATACATTTTGCATGCCTTGCAGTGGAATCGCTTGAAACATGTACATTTAATAACAATAATTGTAGCAGTGTTTCCTGAAAAAATAAAGATTTGAATTTGGATTGAAAACCCTCACTCGTCAGAGCATGATATAAAAATTTTTATTAAATTTTTGGCTCATACAAGCCCAAGTGATAATTTACCATGGTTATTTTGTATGGTTGTGCGATTATTTTACAAATATAAAACAGACCACATCTATTAGCAAAAAAATATCCATCTAAAAATAAAAATGATCCACATGGTATTTGTTCATCTTTTATATTTTTAGCAAGAAAATGTATAAAACTTACGTTTTCCGAGTTATGAACGTGACAAGAAAGTAATGTTTTCTTGTTTATTCCACTTCTGACTTGTTAGGTACAGTTTCATACAATTATTCTTTACCACACTTGTTACTCCACTTAATGCCAACCAACGAACGACTCCCTGTCCTATGGGCTCGTGGCCCTTTATACAAAAAAAAAACAATCTTAAGCCCCGCCCTTAGAGTGTCGGGGCAAACTTAAATCAAATCTTGGTACGAGTATTTGACATGATCCATTAAAATGTATTTCAGCATTAAGCAATTGACAAATTGTCCTTATATAACTCCTTGACACTTCATTACAATTATTCTAATGAATAATTTATATAATACTAACTTATAGAACTAACGATCTAACACTATGTAAATATCGTAATATATTTATATAATTTTTACTTAAAATAAATTCGACATATTTTTGGGCCTACTCTTTTTCGTTTGTAAGTTTTCGGCCCTAGGTTTCCGTAAAAGGTAGTTGGTTGATGAATGAGTAGTACATGGGATAGTACGGCTCTTCGAGCCTTGATAATAATAAGCTAAATCTTTTAACTTTAATTGATTCTGGAATGTTCAAAAAGGAGTTATTCAAACAACTAAAAGATGCTCGCTCATATTATCGTATCATTAACAATACGTACTTTTTAATACATTTAAGGTAGGCACTCGTTTCATGATAATTTGAAAAACTTTAACGCTGAACTTACCTAACAAACAATAAATGTGATCACCAGAACTTCACTCACGCACTTTTCTCGTAGTTGTACGATAACAAGGAATGGCGCGAACTCGCGAAGTAGGAAACGTGCGCGCACACGCTCAAGCAAAATCAAGTTTAAAAACATCCTAGATACGTTTCATTTTCTTATGGCGCGTTCCATTAAGATCCATCTCTGAGTGTGATATCATATCACAAAAGTATTTCACTCGATATCACTGGTAAGGAATTAAAGTAAAATACTTAAAGTTGAAAGTTAGTAAACTGTTTGCAATAAAAATCTAGTATTAAAAATCTCGTTCTTCTCATAAGTTACGATAATTGCCTTACATTTTAAAATTATATGTTACGCGAAGGGTCAGGTCACGAAAAATGTAAGAAATGTTACGTTCTGGCAACACTGGTTTCACAATGTTAATTTGACGTTAATAAGAAA